ATGTTTGTTTGTTTTTTAAATAGTTTACCTTTGTCAGAAACACAGACTTTCAAAATCCTTTCAGAAAACTGTAATTTTCAGATAATATGATATTAATGTAATAAAAGCTTGGGTGTTTTGAAGAGAGCACACTCCCATGCTTATGTAAAACATTTTACTTTAAAGTATTTTAAATCATTGTTTTAATAACCTTTTGTTGTGCTTTAAAAAAGTGCACTTATTTTGACTAGCACATGTAAAGTAATTGATTATAATTGGAAATGTAGTGTGTTGTTTGAAATTACATGAATAAGTTATATAATTAATATAGCAATATATTTTTAATATACTAAATTACAAACTCATCATTACAAATGTATGTATGTACATGGCCTACAGTAATTGTAATTTTATTTAAAAAATATGAATGTGGGCTACATGTATAATTATAATGTCATTAATGTTCTCCACTTCTCGCAGCTCTCTCTCTCTCTCTCTCTCTCTCTCTCTCTCGAAAATGTTTGTTCAACACACATACCTCTGTTAAAATCTACCACTATTACCGTTTTTTTCACACTTCGATTAACAAGTGGGAATATATCTTCACCGTCGCATCCCTAATTGTGATTGGTCTACTCTGTTCTGATTGGACAGATGGCTCAATTTGTTGGGATTGGTCAGAGACTATTTATAGAGACATGCCACTTCCTCAATCCTTAATACAACTATATAGGGAAAACCCGTAACACCAAAGATGGCGGTTGTATGCACATGCCCCGCCCCTCCCACTGGAAAGCCAATCGTCTGCTTTTAACAGTCAAGCTGGGAAACACCGACGCATGCGCACAGTTGAGGTTTGCGACAGCGGAAAATATGTTACTGTTTGAAAAGGCGGCAGATTTGATATGTGTTAGTTGTGTAAATATCAGACATCCCAAGTCTCCTGGAAGTTCCGGGAGTCTCCCACAGATTGATAGCGGCTCGCTGATGCCCGCAAATTAGTTAAAATCTCCCGGAATCTAGAGCGAGCGAGCAGTAGCGCGCACACGACAGAGAGCGAGATAACCCTTGCGCATGCGCAGTAAAAGTATAACCTGTGGGGAAAAGGGCGTTTTAAACCTTATTTTGGGGCAAAGTCATCAAACTTTTTCAGCGATTTTAATCATATTTTACTGCTGTTTCTATACATGCAGTTTTTATGCCCTGGTGACCAGTGAAAGTGCAGTTCTGACTCTCTGCCCATTCATTTAGATAGGAGCATGGTCTTGTTAGTTTGAAATAGCTGCCCGGAGGCGTTGCCAAGATGGCGGCTGAGTGGCATGACTTGCCTAAAAGGACTTTGGATTGGTCTACTCTGCTCTTAAATTCACAGGGTCAGAAATGCCCCTTGTTAATGAATCCGTGTGTGTGTGTGTGGGTGTGTGTACCTCAGACTGGCAGACACAAATGGAAAGGAAAATGAGTGGAAAAACTGGGCATTGAGAGAGATTTTGCTTCAGCTTGTGGTAATGTAAGGCCATAATTACACAAAGCAGCAACAGCAGGTGGTCTGGTACAGTGTAGTGTGTGTCCCTTGATGTTCTCTGACCACACCCCTCAGAGTAGAGTGGGACAATAGAGCGCTCTCCCTTTCCACTAACACACCTCAATACTACAACCGTCATTACAGCCTCATTGGCCATTATAACTTTGCAGGAACCTCATTTCCCAAATGGGAAATTGTTCAGTTATATTTCTACGCACTTTAGTAGTTTATATTAAATATAAACAGATTTAATTGATTTAATTTTGTATAAGTAATAATTCACGACCATTAAAAAAAAAAAGTTCTATAGAATGAATGTGTGTAGAATGGAATCTCTGGACGTGGTACATCCGCCATGTCATGATCTACCAGCGTCAGTTCAGTGCCACTCATAAATCCTCTCCCGTGGCCTCATGGGATAGTAAAGTGTTCATCGTATACACACTTCAGAATCTCGCCAGAAGAAGGAGGTCATCCAGATTCTTTTTTCCTACTCTTTTATGCATAGCGTGAATTCGGACATACTTGTTTGTCGCATAAAACGATGGAAACTCCTCTGAGCTGACTGGATTCTGTTTTCCACCAGGAGATCTAATCAGCTTTTCCTGGGTTTGGGTTGACCAATTCTTTCATTCTTCCCCGCCGTCTTTCTGTTTTTTCTTGTTTCGTAATGTCTCCGTTTGAAATGTTCCACCTTCTTTTCCAACATATAATTGGTGTTTTTGTGTTTGCTGCAAGTTCTTCATTAGAGAATATAGACACATGATCTCAAGATCTTTAGTTTATATTATGTTCATCTGGTCACTTGTAACATGAAACATAAAACAAAGGTCTGGTAGTTTAATCATGGCCTGTTTTTTCTTTGCTATAAATGAAAGCTCTGTTTGTTGCAGAAATTATGGAAATTACATAAAAATGTGCTCAGAAATTTGTCTGTTTAAAGACACCATAAAACTCCCAATAAACTAAAGCCAAATCTTGTTTCCATACATGTAAAATAACAGCTGAAAATAAAAAGTGACCCAACAAACAATTTTAAGAGTGGAAACTGCATGGCCTAAAGCTGAGAGACTCACTTGTGTAAAAAAAAAAAAAAAAAGACTTTGAATGAAAATGAAAAGACTATGATTCTTTTGTTTGTTATTTATAAGTCAATGTATATTACTTGAAACTATTTTTTCTTATGTTATTCATATAACATTATTATTTACGATTCAAAAGTTTGGGGTCAGAAATATATATATATATATATTTTTAAATGATCAAGACATGTATAATGTTACTATATATTTCTGTTTCAAATAAATGCTGGTATTTTGAGCTTTATTTTAATCAAAATATCCGGGGGGAAATGCATTATACGTTTTCCTCAAAAATATATGAAGCAAATCAAGTTCAGTATTAGTATCAAATCAAGATTTCCCATGATTTGTCACAGAATAAATTACATTATAAAATATAGTACAATTTAAAAGTTCTTTCAAATTGTAATAATAGTTAACAATATTAAAAATGTTAGACTTACAGTACCAAACTTTTAAACATTAGAGACTAGTGTATATAACTAATATATATGCTGTATAAATTAAATAGTAACTAATACATTTATAGAGGTTTAGACTTAAAAATATCTGCCAAAAGAACAAGACAAAAATAACGAGTAAGAAAATATTTTTTACAGAACATGTCCACATTGTCACAGTCACTAATAAGATGCAAATGTTTCCATACAGCTATAACCCTGTTGCAATATTTCTTATTTTGTATTCTACACATATAAAGCAATGTGTTTGTGTGCGTATGTGAAATATATATATATATATATATATATATATATATATATCCACACACACACACATTTGTGTGTGTTATGAATAGATTTTAGGGAATATTATTGAAGTAGAGCACACGCACAGACACACACGCTCATTGTCTTGTAAAGCAAAGTGTGTAACAGACAGACAGTTGGTCTTTTGTCCCACAGATAAACCCTGATCTCTGGAGGGGGGAGGGGGTGTGTGGGGCGACCCAGGGTGGGGCAGGGCACTGATGTCAGCCGGATGATGTTACACTGCAGTGGGGTTACTGAGCGTTTGAGGGCTTGCGTCTCCCGAAGGGGGGTGTGCTGTATGACAGCTGGAGGACTCAGGACAGGGTGAGGAAAGTGCTGGCTGTCTTGCATCATCCTCATGGATTTCTTTGTAATCAGATATTAAGTATGATTTTCACAGCTTTATATAGCCTTTGCCCTTCAGACCTGAGACATCTCAGAGGTGTACAAAGCCCATTTTAACTTGTGTTACCCATTTATGAAGCCCGCCAGGAGACCAAGAGCTTAAAACTGGGAGGGACTTTGTAAATTTAAACAAACAATGGTCTTTTGAATGCGCTTTGACTGATGAGTGTCTGCTTTCTTTATCAGCAGTAATAAGAGTTCATTTAAGAGTGATGGTGGCTGAATTCTGCGGTCTGCTTTTCCTTTCATGGTTTGGCCTTCAGTCGTCATTTCTCACTAGATTTAAGACCTGAAGGATCCTGCCAGAGTGGAAAAATATCTGTGCCACTTCTCCGTAACTAAGAGAAAACATCAGAAAGTCAGAGAGTATAGACTTTTAAAGGAGTAGTTCACTTTAAAAAAAAAAAGAACTTTTGCTGATAATTTACTCACCCCCATGTCATCCAAGATGTCCACGTCTTTCTTTCTTCAGTCGAAAAGAAATTAAGGTTTTTGATGAAAACATTCCAGGATTTTCTCTATATAATGGAGTTCATTGGGTACCAAACGGTTCAAGGTCCAAATGAGAGTTTCATTGCAGCTTAAAAGGGCTTTAAACGACACCAGACGATGAATAAGGGTCTTATCTAGCGAAACGATCGGTCATTTCAAAAATAAATAAAAAAGTTTAAGTTTTATAAGCACAAATGCTCGCCTTGCTCTGTTTTGCGATGTGCGTTCGTGACTCTCCTGTTCAGAGTCGTTCATCTAAATGAACAAATCTTTCTTTGAGTCATTTGGTTCATTCAACGAACAAAATAAATTAAATGACTCGAAAAAATATTTGTTCATTTAAATGAACGAGTTTGAACAGGAGACATTGACCATTTGGACCTTGAACCGTTTGGTTCCCAGTAAAGTGCATTACATGGAGAAAAATCCTGGAATGTTTTCATCAAAAACCTTAATTTCTTTTCGACTGAAGAAAGAAAGACATGGACATCTTGGATGACATGGGGGTGAGTAAATTATCAGCAAAAGTTTTTTTTTTTTTTTAAGTGAACTACTGATTTAAGTCCATAGAAAAAGCTTGGATAATGTTTTATTCATTTATTTATTTTTTAAGTCATTTAGCACATATCGACATAATATGTTGCTCGTTCATTTTGTCTGATAATGATTCTTCAAAAACTCCCTCTTTTTGTTGTGTTCAAGGAACAAAAAAGCAGCTTTGGGTTAGAAAAGATGTCTTTTAAAGATCTTTTGGTCTTGTTCTTGCAGCTGATGGGCTCGCTGGTTCTGGCTGTGGGACTCTGGCTAAGACTCGATCCAAATACCGTGTCACTTTTAGGAGAAGACGGGCCTGATACCTTCTTTATCGGTAAGCAGTCACTTGATAATATTTCATGACTACTTCTCCATGGACATACAAATATCCAGATGTCTCCTTTTTTGCATTGTTACAAAGGGCAGCGTCCAGTTCTCCAAACAAATGCCTGTGAAAATACTGTCCCTTGACTTAAATATACAGTGGAGCTGAGATCACACTGAAATTATGCAACTCAAAACTTACACTTAAAAAAATAAAAAGAAAAAAGAAATGGCTTTAGACCTTTGAAATATTATGACACAAAAAAGAATAAAAATGCAATATTTAAATATTAATGATAATAACAATAATTCATTAAAATAAATAATTATAATAAAATTGCAAAATATGTATTAAATTAAATTGAAAATAATTTTATTTAGTGGTTTGAAAGTTTTGGAGCCCACTGTAGCTCATAAAACAGAAATAAATGTGGGCAACACTTTACTTGAAGGGATGTGCATAAGACTGACATGACACCTTCAACCATGAAATGACATATGTCTTGAATATGAAGTAGGGTTATGCATGTTTATGACAACTGTCATTAAGTGTCTTTTGCTCAATATTGACATTCTGAATGCAATTATGACATTGTTTAAGATGTCTTTGTTAGGACATCTTGACATAAACCATAGTATCATAACCTGCCAGTGTCTTTGTCATGACAACTTGACATAAAATGAAGTTAAACTTTCGTGTGGTTTGTTTTGACTGGCTGTCATGAGGCCATTATAACTGTGTCATGAATATTTTTTGTGACCTCAACTACAGTGGTACTAGTTGAATTTGTCATTAAATGGCTTCATGACAGCCAATGTCAAAAGCAACCACCTGACCGTTTAATGTAATGTTAACCCATAAAGCAAGGTGGTTTCTTAAGTTTGATAATTAATCTGCTATCTCATGTTTATGACAGGTTGTGTTGCCTTAGTAATGTCAAGTTGTCATGACAAAGACACTGACAGGTTATGATGTATTGGTTTATGTCAAGGTGTCATAACAAAGACATCTCACATCTCAGTTGTCACAAACATGCATAAAACTTCCTTCATATTCATAACATATGTCATGTCATGATTATGAATGTGTCATGTTAGTCTTATGCACACCCCTTCAAGTAAAGTGTTACCTAAATGGGTGACAGACAGCGCTAGTGTTTATTGGAAGGGGATGGAAACATCCGAGGCCGCTCAGGGAGGTAAAGTTTCCACCGCCGTCTGCCCAGCCCTCGTGAGACACAGAGAGTTCTTGTACATTTCAATGGTTGGGTGTTTCTGAAAACGGGAAGTGACATTTCAAATTGTGCATACGTGGAGGAAACCACAAGACTTCAGGTTTTCTGTAGCAACTGTTCAAACCTAGATGGCAATGAGAAGAGAGAGCTTATGCAGCAATGCTATATCTAGATGCAGAGGAGGGCACTTTACTTCCATGATGTCAGAAAATATACTTATCCTCCAGCAGCCTCCTCCAGAGTGACATCACCCTCATTTGTGGCTTTTAGTACTTAAAGCTGTGAAGAGAAGCCAACGTGAAAGAGCATGACCTAAAGTCTCAGTCACAAAGTCACAAAAACTGTATATATATATATATATATATATATATATATACATACATACATATTTCACAACTTGTTTCTTTGTCAAATCAACTTAAGTAATTCATGTGGTTCATATAACATAATATTTAGATTTTCAGTTAATTAAACCAATCTCCTTCATTGTATTAACTCACATTTTTAATTCCAGTGCACTCGAAATGTTAAGGCAACCAGGTAACTTATTTTTAAGTTAAACCAACAATCGTTTTAGTTCATCATCAGCTCAGATGAAGAGTTCCAACCCTCATAAAACCACATGATAACTTGAAGGCATCACACACACACACTTATTACAATTTGTTTGTCACATTTAAATGCAAATATAACCCACATACAAATATGTGTATAGACTTAAATATTATAGACTTTATAGACTACATAATTCCAACTTTTACATTATACTGTTGCAGTATATGCATGCTGCTTTAATTATATTTTGTCAGAATACTTCAATAATATGTAATGGCCATAGATAAAGAAAGATGTTTTTACAGAAGGGGTTAACGGGACCATGCTAACCTGCCAAACCTTAATCGCTGGAATAAACCATCTGACATTGCTGACAGTGACCAGTTCAGGCTTCATAGTCCTCTCAGTCTGCACAAACACACACACACACACACACACATTTTACATGACTTTTAGATTATAGAGTTAGCAATGACAAAGTATGGTCCTTTCCACGGCTGTGGCAACGGTGTAAATATTACCAGCATGTGACAAGATTGTTTTTAGTCATGAGGGAAGATGAAAGTTGTTTCCACTCTTTCTGTCACGCTTTATTTTAGGTTCAGCTCTAATTTGCTCTCCTTTTTTTTCATGAGATATTGTTGAGATGCTTTTGAGCTTTAGTACACTCTCAGCCCAGAAGGAAATTTCAACGTTTTTATTTTTATTTTTATTTTTTTATACTTCTGTTTAGAGATGTTTGCAAAGGTCCGTTTCTCCTACCGAGATTATTGTAGCTCCTAATCATTAAACCTAAGGATTATTTGTGTTAAAGAAATTAATGAAACCTTAAATCATGCCACTTGTTGAGGAGTGCTGTGCTATGTTTTTATCACTCAGGGAACTGTTCAATATAAATATCACACTTTTCAAAATACCAGCAAGGCTGTGATTACCTATAGCTTTGTATTTGTGACCTACTTGCTTGTGAAATTGGCTAAATATCCAACAGTCTGCTCAATAAAATTAAGCTATTTGACCCATAAACAACCAAAAACTCATGGTATACATGTACATATTCATAGTAAACATACAGTATATAAAACAAAGTGTATGGTAATGTAAGTTAGTACAATCGATAACAATATTAGTGTTTTGCTGTATGTTTATTCCAACTTTTGAAACTGTTAATACCCTGACCAGAATGTTTAAGGAATATCATAAAGCATCACTTTGAAAGCACTAATAATTATCAACATCTGTAATTTTTTTATACTACATAATAAAAAGGGAGGCAATATCCTCCCTCTCCCTTTCTCTCTCTCTCGCTCTCTCTCTCTCTCAAGAGAGTTTATATCTCATTTCCAGACTTCCCACCTGCCCAGGTCTCATGTGGCATAATTACAATGGCTCAGGAAGAACTCATCATAAACTAAAGAGCTTATGTCTCTCGATTACATTTTCAGGCTAGAGTCTGAGGATGTTAAACCTGTCAGCCATATCTCTGTTGTTGGGGCAGATGGGAATTAATGCACCCCTTGCCCTCTTTCTATTTTCTCTAATGAGGATAATAAGATAATGGAAGAGGCTGGAGTGAAAGTTAATGACATCATCTTTGAGTGTTGTGTGCGGTCTCGCTGTTCTCAAAAACATGCTGTCATCTCACAAAAGGACTCGTATAACGCTTGTGCTTCCCTCTGCTGGTGATCTGGTTATATTACTTCCTACCGAACAATCAGAAAGAACAATCAGCTTTATTACCAAGTGTGCTTGCACACAAAAGTGTATTTACCTTGGTATTGAAGCTTCCAGAATATAAATATAAAAAGTCACATAATAAAATTTAAGAATAAATAAATAAAAGTATAAAGACACATAGGATTAGTCATTAAAAAGTGACAGATAATGGACATATTTACAGTATTGTGAATAATAGGACTTAATGAATTTACAAGGATAATGTGCATTTAACTGTTTAAGAGGGAAATAGCCTGTGGGAAGGAACTGTCCCCATGCCTAGTGATCTGAGGCACTGTCTGGACAACAACAGTTCAAATGAGTAGAGTGTATGATGATTTTACCTGCCTTTTTCCTCACTCTGGAAGAGTACAGGGTCTGGAGGTTGGACTGGGCGGTGTCAATGATCCTCTCAGCAGTCCGAACCCGAACCGTCCTCTGATGTCTTTGGCCACCAAACCAGACAGTTATTAAAGTCTAGAAGACAGACTCAATGTTGGCCGAGTAGAACTGTGTCAGCAGCTCCTGTGGCTCAGCTGGCGAAGGAAGTTCAGCCTCTGCTGGGATTTTTCACACTGGAGTCTCTGTGATTGTCCCACTTCAGGTCTGAGAGATGGTGTTACCCATGAACCTGAATGACTCACTGCTGCCACGGTGCTGGGGTGTTTCTCCTGAAGTCCATGATCATCTCCACTGTTTTGAGCGTGTTCAGCTCCAGGTTGGTATGACTGCACCTGTCAGCCAGTTGAGTGAGTGGTCTTTAGAGGTGCAGTTATTTGTGTACAGTGAGAAGAGCAGTGGGGTGATGTGACCCTGAGGAGCACCAGTGCTGATAGTGTGGGTCCTGGATGTGGATTCTCACTAACTGCTGCTTATCTGTCAGAAAGCTGACAGATTGAGGTGGGCATGAAAAGCGGGATCAGGTTGTATGATAAAAGATTTGGTTTGATGGTGTTGAAAGCCGAACTGATATCCACAAATAAGATCCTTGCGTCCCAAGTCTGTCAAGATGTTGCAGGATATAGTGCAGTCTCATGCTGACTGCATCATCCACAGACCTGTTTGTTCTGAAGGCAAACTGAAGAGGGTCCAGCAAGGGTCCAGTGATGTCCTTCACGTTGGCCAACAAATGACATCATGACCACTGATTTGAGAGCATCAGGTCTGTAGTCATGAAGTTCAATGATGTATGATGTTTTTTGGGGGCACAAGACAGTCCCAGCTCAAAGAAGGAAGCTGGTAGTCAAAGAGGTGTGAAAGCAGGAGGAGAGGATGAGGTGTATAAAGGCCATTTCCCAGGCCAAGCAGGGAGAGTGGATGAGATGGGAGAGTGTGGAACAACGCAAGATGGGCTGGCAAGAACTTTGGTCAATGGAAGAGAGTAGGATCAGTTTCCTTATTAGGTCAACATACAGTATGATGTTCTTCCATCACCGCAGAACCTAAACCTCTGGGTAGGAAAGGATCCCTCTTGTCCTTTGTGTTCATCACCTGCCGCATTAAGGCACATTCTGACAGGATGTAAGGTGGCTCTTACCCAAGGTCGGTTTACTTGGCGCCATGACCAAGTACTGCGATGTTTGGCTTTAGTTCAGTATCTTGCAGCCAGGTAAACATACAGGTCACACAACAGGTAAACCCCACATACACACACCCATAAACAACACAGACTACAAGACTACAGACTACTTAGCATTGGAAGGCAAGCGTAGTATGACCAATAAGTTGCCGCCTGTTCTTGCAAAACATTACACGCAGAAGACAATATTCCTCCGCCCAGGCGAGCAACCACCAAGAAAAGGTGTTAACATCAATTGTCGCACCGGGACAACTGGAAGCTGCTAGGGGCTGGAAGATGCTGGCTGATCTTGATCAACAACTTTTTTTTCCACCTGAGATTGCCACCACTAACCTTCGACCAGATATTGTTTTATGATTTGTATCAACACGCATTGTTCAACTGATAGAGTTAACAGTGCCATGGGAGGATGCGGTAGATGAGGCATATGAGAGGAAGAAACTGCGGGATGCTCATCTGGCCACTGAAGCAGAACAGCGAGGATGTAGCGTCCAGGTTTATCCAGTGGAAGTGGGTTTTCGAGGATTTGTGACACACTCTACAACCCGGTTCCTCAAAGACGTAGGATTCAGTGGCCAAGAGTTGTGTCGCAACAGTAAGAACTTATCTGAAGGAACAGAAAGGAGCAGCAACCGGTTGTGGTTGAGACGGAAATATTCTGGTTGGCTGTGTACAGGACGCCACACTATGGTTTTTGTAGTATTCTTGAAAAACTTGAAGAGTCGGTTGGTTTATTTGTATAGGTTGCATAGTAATTACAGTCATTACGTTTCTGTGTATATTGCGTGAATGACGGGTGGTGTTTGGGCAGATATTATGTTTTGCGGTAGGTGGTGTGCCATACGGAACCGTTGCCACTGAAACTGCTTTAACGACGATAGTGGGGCTTGACAGCCTTAGTCAAACGGGTTGGCGCGTATGGTTGGGTTGCGGAAAGATTTGAGATTGTGGTTAGGTCACATGTGAACTACGAGGAAGGAGCAACCTCAGCAGTAGGAGGGATGTAGAGGTCAGTAAGCTGGGCTGAGTTGAGTGGGGGAAGGAGGGGACTGACCCTGGGACGCCAGAGTCACTATCGAGCCCTCTTGAGGTGTCGTGGGCAAGTCGACGAAACACTGAGGATGGAAGGTGCCCACTTGAAGACCCTAGAGATGCCCCCTACTCAGCTCAATCCAAGTGGTTGTGGTGCTGGTCCACTGGGGAGACCACACTGTAGTTGCAGCTGTCTTGTGTGCTGACGCGCCAAGTACACTGCAGCCATTAACGCCGGACAGAAGGGGAGTCACACCACCATATGGAAAGAAGTGTAAATGGATGGAGAAGCATAGTTTACTGTAAGGCTAGGTTTGTGCTTATCTTAGCGAAAGCCGAGTATAAATCAGCATGAAGTTTAACATCTACTCCCGTGTAATGGAAATCATGATATTCTGGGGGTTTTTTTTAACTCGGCTCACGTCCTACACACAGATCTTAAGTTGAATAGCAGGAGGGGGTTGCAGGAGGTGTTGGGGAATGTGTGAAGAGCAGGTCAGAGCGGGTGTGGGGTGTGAGCTGGCTTTTCAAATCGACAGTAAAACACTTTCAGATCCTCAGCCATTTGTTGGTTGTTGCCGGGTCGTTGGCTGAGAATTGTTTTTTTTTTTTTTTTGGGGGGGGGGGGGGGTTCAGCTTTTCAGAGTAGCTTCTTTCAGCCACTCTGATCTTCTTTGTTAGTCTGTTTCTGGCCTGGTTATACAATATTTTATCCCCACCTCTGTAAGCATCCTCTTTGGCTTGATGAAGCTGTTTCCTGAAACTAACAATTACTCAATGTCAAGACAAAGAGGTCTTGTCAGGGTTGTTGTGTCTTGTCTAAGGTCTGGGACACAGTAGAGGATTTTTAAACTGTGGAGACCACAGACAGTTTCAACCGATTTTTAGCATTATAATTCTCCGAATGCACACTAGAAGATTCTTCCGGACCGTCTGTCGATTGCAGTAGCATTTCCACAGTGAGACAAGATCTCATGTTTGATATTTACGATTTGGGATCTTGCGGCTCCGACGCGATCAGGAGCAGTAAAATAATTGTAATGGCAACATAAAATTAAGAATTTTTGAAAAAAAAGTTGTTTGCGAAAAGCCTTGAATTAGGCCACACCCCCCGATCGCTGGGTATCCTTTTAATTCCCTCTCACCTGGTACCTTGTTAATTAATGCGTTACTTCCTTTGTTTTACCCTGTGTATTTAAGCCCTCAGTTTCAGTCTGTTCTTTGTCCTGTATTGTTTTACTTTCTCTGTGATTATGTGGTTGTGTTATCTCATACTGATTCTCCTGTTCATTTTGTGTTGAATATTGGATTAAAGATCTGTTTGAGTATCTACTGAGTTGTGCGCTTCACTACAGCCACCTAACCGTGAGAGGTCTAATAGACCTTATTCAGAGCAGCGCCATGACTGGTATGAAAGTGAGGCTGTGAGGGATAGACTTACTGTGTTTCCAATGGCATCCGCTGTAAAAAGCTGAATAAAACGGCTAGATTACTTACAATTTTCCACAGCTTACATTGTCGGGAGTTTTTTTGTCAACTGACATTTCTTGGAAAGATATTTTTCCAGTGTTTCATGAGCAGAACAATCTGAAAACACATTAAATAACAGTACAGCCCATTGAAGAGATGCAAGTCTATCCCTCACAGCCTCGCTTTCATTCTCATTAAAAATCAAAGATGGCGCTGCCGTGAATAAGGCGTATACCTGGAGAAAGTAATTCTTTAGCGTTCACATTCACATTAGTGGCAGTTTCTCCGATGGAACAGGACTACTTGGAAGTTCATCATTTAAAATCTGCATTATTGCTAGTATTTAAATTTTTTTTAAAAATAAAAAGTAACATTTTTAGTGTTTAGTATATTGTGCTGTTATCTTTAATTTTTAGCTAATGTTTATAGGCTACTGTATATTGTATACAACTATCAGTACTATTTTATCATATAAAACTGCACTGTAATAAGTACTGTATATTCATTATTTTACTTTACAGTAGTAAGATTACAATAATTAAATCTTAATTTCTTCACCTAAACCCTCAAGCTTTGTTAATGGTGGGAAATTGCCTTGACAACATGACAAAATGCTTTCAAAACATCCATCATCTCTTTGAGATTAATAAATATGTGAAATATTTTAAAATAAATATTGTTGTTTTAGTATAACCAATAACAGTATCACACATTTTACAATAGGCCTTTTTATTTCTCAAAATTTTACAGATATCAGTTGATGCTGAAAAAAGCATAAAATGGCTTGGCGTGTTAAATGAGGTTCTGGTCTTTGTATTACCTGTCATGTGATCTGTTAACTGTTGCTTTATCCTTGTGTCCTGCGCAGGGGTTTATATCCTCATTGCGGCCGGGGGTCTGGTGATGCTGGTGGGCTTCTTCGGCTGCTGTGGTGCTGTGAGGGAGTCTCAGTGCCTGCTGGGATTGGTAAGTGCTCATTCGTCTGGTTTAACAAAACAATATTGCTCAAAGAAAATGCTCAGTGAGAAACTGACAGGATGTCAACTTTAAATTAATTTTATATATTTTTAACCATTTGTAATATCTTGATAACCGTGTGCTAAATGTGTAATTTTTCCAACAGGATGGGATGTTTTAAATTGAGACAAATGAACTAATACCACAAACATCACAAAATTTATCAAATACAATTATCTGATGCTTTTGCTGTTTTGAACATTTCAATGTGAGAAAGGAGTAAAAAGAAAAAAAACAACTAGCGTCTTTATTTAATAAAAAATATGGAGAATAAAGTAGAAGTAACCCAGGTGCTATGTCTCTCTTGCCTGGCAGTTTTTCGCCTGTCTTCTAGTCATCTTTGGAGCAGAAGTTGCAGCAGGAGTGTTTGGATTTCTCAACAAAGATAAGGTACTACAAAACTGGAAATGTGTTGAATCAGAGTTCATTTTGAAATTATATTAGTCTGACGTTTCCGACTCATTGTTATTAACGTGTCATTTAGATCATTGAGGAAATAAAACAATTCTATGACGACTCAGCCCAAGACACCAACAACAATACAACTGTCCAGTCCTACCACATCATTGTGAGTTTACACTTTTATTAAATTATTTGTGTCTCTTTGCTGATTTAATCAGGAAGAATAAATATAAAAGTTTAGCTTGATACAATGTTTATTTTTGAAATGTCGTAGTATTTAGAGTCATATGTTGAAATATAAATCACTGCTATTTTGTATTATTTATACAGTATTTATTAATAGAATTTTGAATTAGTATATCATCTAGTATTATTAATTTACTGTATTTTTTTTAGCATTTTTTAAAATTATCGGTTTTAAATAGTTTCAGTTCACACTAACAACACTAATATACTAAATATAATATAATGGTTGTATATTTGCCCAACCTTGTCATGAGTGATTGAATTTGTCATGTTTCACATCTGCAGCTGAACTGCTGCGGCTCACCTTCAACGCCCAATTTGTGTCAAGAAAACGAATCAATCCAGGTGAGGATTTCTGATGCAATAAGTAGAAAGTTTGTTTGGTAAATACCAGTATGTTTAGAATTTGAAAGTTAGTGTGACTGAAAATGAATTATGTAGAACAGTGGTTCCTAAACTGGGTGGTGCAGAGTTATACATAGGGGGGCACGGGATAGTGTACAGTTAGCAGGGACGGGTTATGAAACGGTCGTGCGCTAGTGCTCCGATTTCCCATTGCGTATGGGTTTAACGATGTAGCGTAGCACTCCAATTTCTCATTGCGTATGGGTGGTGTTGTTGACAGGTCGCCCCAACCCCCATCATCACCCCCCACCAGCTTGTCCGGGCCGCCACTCTGGTCTAGTGCCCTGGCCGTTAGTCCATCCTTGGCAAATTGTTATGTAAAAGAAACCCCACTGCAAAATTGTCCTGCTTATTATGCGGATACATGCCACATGATTAAACACAAAATATTATTTTGACATATTTTATTATTTCAAAATGTTTCACAGTACCCACTAGAGCAGTGTGTTATCAGTGCTAGTGGTTGCTGTCGTTCAATTATAGACTGCGCCATAGATAGCGTGATTTAAGAATCAGAATTGAGTATTGCTGGGAGCCGTGTAAAAGTATAAATGAATGATTCATGGTTCTGCAATAAGAATGGACAAGTTTGTGAAAAACTGCCACTGCCAGGTAAACATAAAGATATTAAATCTACTTAAAGGAGTAGTTCACTTTTTAAAAAAAAAACGTTTGCTGATAATTTACTCACCCCCATGTCATCCAAGATGTCCACGTCTTTCTTTATTCAGTCGAAAAGAAATTAAGGTTTTTGATGAAAACATTCCAGGATTTTTCTCCATATAATGGACTTCAATGGGAACCAAACAGTTCAAGGTCCAAAAGAGAGTTTCAGTGCAAAGTGTTCAAAGGGCTTTAAACAATTTCAGACGATGAATAAGGGTCTTATCAAGCGAAACGATCGCTCATTTAAAAAAAAAAAAAAAAAAAACGTTTAAATTTTATAAGCTCAAATGGTCACCTTTCTCTGTCAGGGTTAGGGTGTGATGCACGTTCGTGACTCTCCAATTCGAAATCGTTCATCAAAATGAACGAATCTTTTCCAGAGTCAATTCGTTCATTCCGTTTGCTGAATGAACCAAATGACACGAAAAAAGATTTGTTCATTTTCTTTCAGGGTCTTATCAAGCGATCGTTTCGCTTGATAAGACCCTTATTCATCGTCTGAAATTGTTCTGAAAGCCCTTTGAACAGTTTGCACTGAAACTGTCTTTTGGACCTTGAACCGTTTGGTTCCCATTGAAGTCCATTATATGGAGAAAAATCCTGGGATGTTTTCATCAAAAATCTTAATTTCTTTACGACTGAAGAAAGAATGACATGGATATCTTGGATGACATGGGGGTGAGAAAATTATCAGCAAAAGTTTTTTTTTTTTTTAAAGTGAACTACTCCTGTAAACAACTACACCAGACACAAGCAGCGCAACTCAATAGCAAATAGAAACCATTTTAATCAGTGAGGCTGTCTACAATAGATGTGGTGCGTCACAACAAAATCCCAGAGAGTAAACTGATGCCCCGTTTTATTTCTGACATACTCCAAAGCTCTGACAGTTTAAAATATTTTTTCTACAAAAGGGGGGCCAGGCAGAAAAAGTTTGGGAACCACTGGTGTAGAAGGACACGGTACACACTAAAAGAAACATACTATCAGTCTGTCTCACTGTCTGCAGAAATGTGACGTGGCCATTCAAGAGTTTTTCAACAGTAAGCTCTTCATCGTCGGTTATGTGGGAATCGGAATCGCAGGAGTCATGGTAAATTCTAATATTTCAATGTAGTCAATTTAGCACATTTTTATTTCCATCTTGAATTGAATTGAAAGCATGTATTGTCATTGTATTTGCATACAACGATATTAGAAGCACTGCACCTGAATGATCTTGGAAAGACATGCATATAACCTTATAACCAGACAACCATATAACCACAAAAAGAAATACACTCTAGAGCAGTGTTTCCCAGTGTTTCCCAACCCTGTTCCTGGAGACTTGTACCACAAGACTAAAGGACAGCTTCTTTCCAGTGGCAATCCGGACTCTAAACTCAAAAATGCACTAAAGGCAAAGGTTAAAATACTACTCCAGTCACATTATTTAACTACATTTATTATTTTTATTCCAGTCTCTCTTCTGTCTATTCTGCTGTCTTATGTAATGTGCAGTATGTCAAAGTGCAATATCACCACTTGAACACTTTAATTATTAGAAACTGTATAGTCTAGAGCAGTATTTCCCAACCCTGTTCCTGACAGCACATCAACACTGTGCGTATTTATTGTCTCCTTTTTCAAACACACCTGATTCAACTCATCAACTCATTAACCCATCTGATTATGAGCTGATGAGTTGAATCAGGTGTGTTTGATTAGGGAGACAAAGAATACGCACAGTGTTGGTGTGCCGCCAGGAACAGGGTTGGGAAATACTGTGTATGTGAATGTTTTTACACTGTTAGCTGTACATTTTTGCCTGGAGCTGAAGATTCCCAGACAGCAAACTGACATTGAATCAACGTGGAAACGACGTCTCTCATGACATTGAAACAACGTTGATTTTGCTCATCGAATTAACGTTGAACCAACGTCAGACGCGGCATTCTTCAAAGCTAAATGAAAATCGAAAATTGGTTTGCTTTCATAACGTTGAAACAACGCGTTGATTTCAAGTTGATTTTCCGTTAGTTTTGAAAGAATGACGCGTCTGACGTTGGTTCAACGTTAATTCGATGAGCAAAACTATGTCAGATCAACGTTGTTTCAATGTCATATTTCCACGTTGATTCAATGTCAGTTTGCTATCTGGGTTTTCATCGACCTTCTCAACAATAAAATTATTAATATAACCCTCAAATGCATAGTTAAGGCCCTTTAGGTGACTTCAAGATGGCATATAATCTTTCTGTCTCCAAAAATCACCAATTGCCTCCTGTGAAATGTCTGCCATAGCGCCCGTGCCCGAATGTTGACTGTATGTCCGAGTGAGTGGAGGGGGCGTGGCTTAGCCATAGGTCAATTGGTGCTGCCGGCCTGTAATTATTTAAGTTATTTGTGGTTGCTTTCTTAGGAACAGGGATGATGGTAGCAGATTTTAAACAGGGTGGGATGATGGCTAATGGCAAACAGAATTACTGAATTTATTAAACAGTAATACATTCTCTGTTTAATCAAATACGTTTTTTTTTTTTTCAAAAGCTATTTTTTTTTGTAATGTATATTTTATGTTTTTCTCATTTAACCCAATAATGACTTTTGAGGGTAAATTCTCTGCTAAAATTTGTATTGCGATCAGTTTAGAATAATGTGCACCTACAGTATACAGTAGTAAGATTATAGATAAATATTAAGGAAGCAAACAGTGTCATGTACAACTTTGTGTATGTGTAACATCTTCTCTCTTTACAGATTATTGGGATGATCTTCAGTATGGTCCTATGCTGTGCAATCCGGAACAGCAGGGAGGTGATCTAGCACAGTCTTTCTCGGCCTTACACGCATATACAACAATAACATTCCAACCAAGTTCAAGGGGTTCTTCTGCCATCCTATAAACTCAGGAGCTGAAAGCAAACTCCATGTCCACAATCCTGTACACATAATCCGGTTTTAACCCTTTCAAATTTCTGGGTTATCATTATTTAATGCCTACTGGTTAGGTGCCGAGCTGGAGTTTCCAATTGCGACAAAAAAAAAGAAAATGTGTTAATAATATAATTCAGATTGTGAGTTCAGTTTTAGTGCACGCTGATCTGCATTTTCATGCTATTCTTGGCTGTTGCTGTGTGGCTTCACATGTCAGATAAAAATATTATGTAATGTGATGCCAGGGATTCTGTGGCAAATCCACGGCTGGTGGGAACGGTAAGAAGACCCACTGACTGATGCCTTTCACTTAATGTTTATACACAAAGAAAGCAGTCTTCTTTGTCACCAAGAGATTGAACATTTATGAATGATCAAAACAACACACACATGCACAGAAAGCCCTAATCTCGCATGCTGGAGATCTTTAGAGGAATCCTTGCATTATTGTTCAGTAAGTAAATTTCCTTTCCACGTCACACCAACACAGTTCCAGCTCCGCTTTCTTGCGATTGAACTCTGGCGAGGCTTCTGTTATGCAACAGCTGATAACGCCTGGTCTTCTGGGGCTCGATGGAGCCAAATCCACTCTTTCTCGCTGTGGATCTTGTGGTGTGGTTATTTTATGCCTGTATCTATAAGTAAAGACTCATCTGGTGCCTTATACTGTCTGTCTGTGGTTGCGTACAACCATCTGCGCTGTGAATACGAAATGGATCAGACACGAATAGCATATGAATCATTTGTTTGATTCATTCACCAGTTGATAGCAGTCCAAGCAGCATCCTTAAGGTTGGCATGCTACTTCGAAAACTTCCAAATTTATATGAAATGCATGAATAAATTACATGTGCATTTGGTGACCTCATATTAGATTGGCCATGTGAATTCCTTTCTACAATACCACACATTCTTTTATAAAAGGTAGATTTGTTAAATTTGTATGTTATTGGATAGGACCATGGAGTTAAGACAGGAAGTAATTAGAGAGGGAAATAGGATCGGGAAAGGACTTCGAGCCAGGGCACGAACTCAGGTCACTCAAGGTACATCTGCACCATATGGCGTATTTTGAGGTTTTAATTAGATTTTGTTTTCCTGATTTTCAACAACGTCTCACACTTTTGAACCCAAACATGTTTGATTTTTTTTTTTTTTTCATCAAATACCCTTCAACTTCAAATGATCAAATTCAAAATTGTCTCCAAACTGAAATGAACACTTTTGTGTTACTACCATTTCTGTGTACATATCTGTGTGAGAGTTTCATAGTCATAGTGATCGTGAAGATCTGTATTGTGCGGTTGGTGTGTATAGAGGCAGCTTTGGCCAGTGTTTTTTATTTTGTATTTTTTTGCATTTGAATATTAAGGTGCCTTCTTTAATTGTCCGAAAACACAACTTAAAGGGTTCATTCAGTCAGAATTAAAGAATTAAAATGTCTTTCTTTCTTCTGGGAAAATATTTCAGTTTCAATGCAGCTTTAAAGAGCTCTACACAATCCCAGCAGAGGAATAAGGGTCAACTGATGGTTTTCTTTTTTTAATCGCATATTTCGGTTCATAAATGTAGGGTAGGGCGAAAAACTCAACATCTTCCGACAACGTTGTTTTACCTTTTGTTTTATTTTGTTGTAAATGCCGCTTGACTTAGTCTTGGCACGTTTGATTTGTAAACACTAGGTCTGTACTTCCACCTACGTCACGCTTGACCTTTCAACATGATTACGTGATGCGTGGCGCATCACAGCTAGTGCAAGATGAGCATTTATGGTTGAAAAGTATATAAATGTTTCCTTTTTTAGAAAATGACAGATGGTTTGGCTAGACAAGAACCTTATTCCTCGGCTGGGATCGTGTAGAGTCTTTGAAACTGCAATTTGGACCTTTTTGCCGTTGTGCCCCATTGAAGTCCATTATATGGATAAAAATCCTGGAATGTTTTCCTCAAAAACCTTAATTTCTTTTCGACTGAAGAAAGAAAAACATGAACATCGTGGATGACGTGTCGGGGGGTGATTAAATTACAAGAAAATTGTAATTCTGAAGTGAACTAATCCTTTAATATTTTGTTGAAATATTCTTTTTTCATGAAGGATTGGAAATGGGACAAAATCTCTCTTTTTTATTATTTATAATGGGATAGCCATTGGTTGGTCAGATATATTTCTGCTGGTGCATCACTGCTGAAGTTCCTCAAGCTGAAGTGGCATTAGAGTAGCGATTGGGATACGTCGTAGTCGATGCTAACAGAGAGTAACGCATGAAACAAGTGTTTCGTTCACATTTAATGTTGAAGTAGTTCTGTCCTCATACCCAACGGCAACCCGTCTGTGGTTGTTCAGACTGTAAAATAACTAGAATGGAGCATGTAGCTTTTGAGACTGTGTTGTAAACAATTTTTAATGTGTCATTCTTACAATTTGTGTAAACGATGTAGAGATTGTTTGTACTGTAAACATAACACTGCAGTTTTTTGATGTTAGTGTTTATAATTTGTGTGTTTAATTTATTTTCTGGAGAACAAGTTCAAAAATAGCGTTCGCGTGTCTCAGGAAAATTGCAGCACGAGAACAAATAAACTTGTTTGAAGTTTCTGAGTCTTGTGGGGGTTTTTTTCTTTTTTTTTTTTTTTTCAGATTTTATATCACCAGTGACATGTAGCAGAGAAGTTGTACCATGTAAATAGGACCATCCATTAAAGATTTTTATTGGAGCATGGGTGAGTGCACTTTCCCAAGCAAAACGAGTAGGATATACAGTGCACCACAGGACCTTAGTGGGGCCCCTCAGCACATAACATCACCACTGGTTGTCTTTTTAACTGACTGCAATGGAAGGCACTGAAATATTAGTAGCACAGTCTTGAATCAATGTTGTATCACATGACAGGCTAGAGTTGTGTGTGTGTGTGTGTGTGCGTGCGTGTGAGAGAGGGAAAGAATTTGGCTCCAGCTTGCAGTCATAAGGTGAAAAGTAATGGTTTTACTACTCCATTCATTCTACAGATCAAAATGTTTTTGTTTTGTTTTTTTCTCCACATTAGTTAGGCCCACCAAGTAGTTCTACAACGTCTCATCAAATTTTAATTTCTGACCAAATATTTACATTAAAAAAAAAATGTAAATGTAAATGAAGAGTTGATATGAAACGTGTATAATGTATATAAAAAATGTAACAATTTGGTGTCACTATTTATATTTCTTGCCACAGATGTTTATTCTTCATTATTATCTTCTAGGGTTATTGTACATTTTTTTAAAAATGTGCTTTTAAATACAGAAGTTTGAAAAAAATATTGTAAATTACACTGCTAGCTACAATTGATCATGTACTAGTCAAGACTTTGTCTAATCTTTCTGACATGAATTGCACGTCAGCTGCGCAGGAAGCTCTTGGGCAGAATCACACACAGGCTAAAGTTTCAGCTACACTGCACAGTGTGCACTTTTCACTTACTCAGATGTGCTCTTAGTTAACACTCACCAAGCACTTCACATGTCTGTATATGTGTGAGTTTCCTTTACACTACTGCAACACATGCCATTCTTTGAATTTTAAAATGTATTACTGTAAATGCAAGTGTTATATTTCAATACTGCCCAGACTTAAATGGATACTCCACTTTTTTGGAAATAGGCTAATTTTACCACTCCCCCACTGTTGGGTTTTACCGTTTTCGAATGTATTCAGCCGATTTTCTGATCAATCGGCTGAATACATTCGAAAACGGTAAAACCCAACTGTTTAACTCTGGGGGAGTGGTAAAATGAGCCTATTTACAAAAAAAGTGGAGTATCCCTTTAAGGATGCAATTTGTTGACAGGCTTGAGTTCAACCACTGCACTACTAATGAATGAATTCCATGTCATTTTTTATTTAAAAAAAATGATATTAGTTTGGTTAAAGTTAGTTTTTTGGTCTTTCACTTCTCTTAAAGAAGAAGAACTCCGGTCAATTTTAACATTGAGCTCTTTTTTTATACATTTGGAGTGACAAAAACAGACAAAAACAACAAAAATTGGTGTTGCCAACAACGTATTATTCTCTTTTTAAAATTAGCACCCTGTTGTCTTCAATGGGGCATGATATAAACCTGCTTTTAGCCTCTTAACATCCTTGATTTGTTATTACAAGTGCACAGCCATGTGAGTGGTGTTATTAAGTGACCACGGTCAATCTGACTGCAGTAGATGTAAAAGATATTAATAAAAATGATGTTAATTCAGCCAGCTCACATATTTACTTCCTGTTTTCGATCGAAGTCCACAGTAGTCGATTATCGAGTTCCAAGCGTACAAAAATTTAAGCTCAATGTTAAAATTGCCCAAAGTTCTCCTTTAATACCATTACAAACCAGATATTTCAATATTTTTAAAAAATATTGATATAAAATTTACATTTATTTTAAAATTGAAAAGAATCACATACTTCAGTACATCCTAAAAAGGGTTTTGCTTAATGTATCGTTATACACAGTTTCCAAATTGTTCAGCAGTGTATAGTAGCAAATAGACTAGCCAAACAAACTTAAAAACTTTTTTTTTTAAATGCATTTGCACACACTAACAAAATTAGGAACATTGTGGAGTTAACAATAAAACACACATTGGTTTTAGTTAGTTATGGTCCTCGTGTCAAACCATTATTCAGTTACTTATTTCTTCTATTTCAATGTGTGAATCCCAAACAAATCACATGTGAGCTGCTTGATTACCATTTGGTTCAAACAAACCCATTTGGTTCAATGGTAATGGTTCAGGATGTTTAAAGTATCTAAGTATGACAATTTAACAAGTTTAGGTTGAACAGAATGTATTTTAATTCTGTTAATGTAAAACTCTCACGGTCTCACCTCACTTCAGCAGGAATCAAACTTCCCATCTCTGTCTCTTTAGAGTCATGTATATTGTATAACAATGTCCTCATAGATATGTCTCCATACAAATATCCAAATTAATCAGCAGCGCCTACATAATATTGTGGCATATTCAAAACTTCACAAGAAAGTTAGGACAGAACTGTTAATGAAGGACGTGTGTATAGAAAAAAAAGATATTACAAGATTTTCTGGCTCTTTGAGTGCATGAATCATGACTAAGCTTTCGAATCAACCCTCACTGAGGATAAATCTGACTGTCTCTGACCATACATTTCCAATAGAAAAAGAAACCTTATCATGTTCAATGCTATAGCTTCCTGAATAAGCATATTGAATATGCTAAAGGTAGCATGTAAAGACATGAAATTTAACTCATAAGCCATTATCAATCTTCCTTGAAAACCATTTGTTTCAACACACATTCATGGCAACACTTAATAATTTGCACAAGATGGCGAAATCATGTGATGTCTTCTAACTTGGATCATGTAACCTTCCAGATTACTAAAGTAGGTTTCTGTTTTTGTATGACCCAGATTTGCACGATACCACCATCTCATATAAAATATTACGAAATGTCATGTGACCGGGTTGGTTTGTTCTCAAACATTTAGTTGCATCATAGCAGCATTGGTCTTTAAAGTTTAATTCAGTTGGTTTCATAGTGTGGAGATGTTTAGACAGAGTAAAGGTTGAATGGGCTTTGTCCTAAGAGGAACTCTCCAACACCGATGAAATAAACCACTTGAGCAATTCCGAAGAGTGGAGCGATGACTAGCGCCCTGCAGCCGGCACCCTTCAGGAAAGCAGTTGGCCCTTCTTTACGCATTATCTTTCTGTAGGAAGAGTGGAATCATCGTTACTACAACAGAAGCGAAACCAAAATGGTTACTAATTCTCTATCTCAGAATGTCCGTTTTCCGAGTTACTGGATACTATACCTGATGCAGTCTAACACGCCATTGTAGGTGTCTTCATTGGCACTTTTATTGAGTGACTGGAGCCGGGTTTTCACCACTGGATAGAGATGGATCAACCTTAGTCTTTTCAAATACACTAACATCTGCTCAAACACATGTTGTTCAGCCAATCTTGAACACTCACCATCACAAGGACTGACCGCCACAGCCGCTGTGCATCCAGCCACACAGCCCGAAATAAAAGACCAGTAAAAAGGCACATCGTCACCCTCAGATGTCTTGCCCAGCTGGTTGATGTGGGCAAACAGTGGAAAGTAAATCACAGAGAAGGGGATGTCCCTGGAAGAAGAAGATCCAGTGTCTGTTTTAGAGAGATACCTTGTTGGAAGTTCCTTGATCAGTGTCATTTGCCCAAATAATTACAGTCCTAACCCCAACCTACCCTGGAAATCTGAGAGGAATGATAGGCCACTAAGAAAGTTGTTGAAGGCTCTCATTCTACCATTATTGTTTGATAGCAATGTTGTTCGAGGACAAACATGTATGTTAATCTATGGACAAGTTCAACTTGACCAGGGATGTCCAATCCTGCTTTTGGTGGGCCACCGGTAACACTTTATTTCGATAGTCCACTTTAGACATTCTACTAACTATAAGTAACTTTTCAATTACATGTCAACTAACTGTCATTAGAGTATTAGTAGACTGTCAGCTTAATATCTGCTAACACTTTATTTTGTTGGTCCCCCAACTGTAGGAGCTATTTTGAGTTTGGTTTAATCTAAATTGTTGTGCTTTTGGAGCACTGGAATGTTTTGTTAGATTTAGGATCCTTTATTTTGTAGGGACTTTTATTTCGACAGTTGGTGAGAATGTTTGAATAAAAAGATGGCCGCCTCTCACTTTTTCAAACACAAGAAAGGAAAAAGGAAGCTTTAGGAAAGTACAAGCATACAGTTCTTGACTTTGCTATCGAAACGCTATTGAATCAATTGAACGCTACGTGGACATTAGTTTTGACATTTAAGTTGTGCCTTTTAACACCCTTTCTTCAATCAACTACCAATTGTTTGTTGGATTACTGGAATCCATCCAGTCTGATACTACCAACAAACAAAACTGCCCGCTGCCTGTCTTGCTCGGCTTATCAACCTTCTACCTGCTGGAATTCCATCTCATCCATCAAAAAAGGTACAATTCAAGTTTCTTTGCGTTGGATAGCTTGTTAAAGAAGTAAACCAATACGTCCCAGCTATCAGTGGTCCGCCATCACACCCAACAGACATTTAACTGACTATAAGTAACTTGGCGACTACAAGTAAACTTATTCTCCTAACCCAAAGCCTAACACCTAAACCATAACCTAACAGTCTACTATAATATACTAATACTCTAATTAGAGTTACTTGACATGTAGTTGAAAAGTTACTTATAATTAGTAGAACGTCTAAAGTGACTTTCGAAATAAAGTGTAACCCCACCTTTCAGCAGAGTTTAGCTCCAGCCCTAAGTAAACACACCTGAACCAAAAACCAAGGTCTTCAGGATCAGTAGAAACTTCCAGGCAGATGTGTGAAGCCCGGGACACAACAAAGAACTATGGTGGCAATGGAAGCTGAGTGTATTGCCGATTCTCGCCTGCTGTCATCTCAGCCCAAAAGCTGCGCTTGAACACACTGAAAGGACTTAAGGTAACTGACAACTAGCATGTCAGCCCCTGTGTGTAAGTAAATACCGTGTCTTTCTACATCAGCAGGTATCAATAGTCTATATTCGTCATTCAAAAAGGGAAACTGACTCTTGGACTGCAGATTTACAACTCTAAACAAAGCAGTCCTAGCTTACCATTTTTAATGTCAATCACTCTGATCACTTTGTTCATTCCCTTTGGCTCATGTTGTTATGAAAATATTTGCGCATTTGAATGCTCGGGTAAGATTGTGTTACCTTAAAACCTCCTTAAAGGGATAGTTCACCCCAAAATGAAAATTCTGCCAGTGATTACTCACCCTCATGTTGTTCCAACACCGTAAGATTTTCATTCATCTTCGAAACAAATTAAATCTTTGATTAAGTCTGAGAGCTGGATCACTCCTCCATGGGACATTCTTAAAATAGTCCAAGTGACAATAGTGGCTCAATCTTAAGTTTATCAAGCGACGAGAATACTTTTTTTGCTAAAAAACAAACAAACAAACAAACAAAATTAACGACTTTATCGCAACTATTAATTTCCTTCTCCTTGGGCCTCAACTTAGTTCACGTACTGTAACAACGCATCGCTTCTGTGTTGTACATCACATGCAAGCCACTGTAGTCACTTGGATTATTTTAATGATGTCTTTAATAACTTTTCTGGGCAGGCAAGTTTCAATCCTTTAAAAGCCTATGGAGGAGTGATCCAGCTCTCAGATTTAATCAAAAATATCTTAATTTGTGTTCCGAAGATGAACGAAAGTCTTAAGGGGTTGAAACAACATGAGGGTGAGTAAATACTGACAGAATTTTCATTTTGGGGTGAACTATGCCTTTAAGTCTGTACTGTCTTTACTTCTTTGTTCCTATCATCACGTTTGCTTTTGTTCTTGTGCAATGAATCATTCACTAAGCTGAACAGTCAATCAGAGTTCTCTCTCTCACCGATGGACCGATGACGATTCTACATGCCGGATCGGCCCAAGAAAAAACGACCGCTAATGGTGTGTAACAGTGAAAAAAACTAAGCCGACCAACACTCAAAAACAGCCCGACATTGGCCAACGACGACCATCAGCTTGGTATGTTGCCCTCCAGGAGCAAAATTGGACACCCCTGTGTTACACCAATATTTATTTTGTTTTTTAGGCTAGCGGTACTGTAGTACCTTCTATTTAGGTGTGTGGTACTTAGATGTGTTAATATTCTGTTTTCCCCAACCACAGTTTTGCCTAAAATGGATTGCCCATTTACATTACAGGATGGAGTCTTACCTCATGAGGGTTGCACCTAGTCCTTTGTAAAGTCCCTGAATGCCCTTTGTGCGAAGCAGTTCCTGGGTAATTTGAATGGCCGACACTCTCCTGGTTGAAGACACAGGACCCACACTGTAGGAGCAGTTCAGGACTGGACTGGCCGTTCCAAGTTTCACAGTTTGGAGCATGGGTAACTTCCTCTGCTGGGCCACTGAATGTGGAAAAAACGGCACAGCCGGTCAGATATGTTCCTTCCCAAAGAAAACCTTGCAAGTCTACTAAATAAGAGACATGAATTACATGTTGAAATTGTGGCGAGCCGGACGAGGGCGAGTGACGTGAGAGTGGCGTGAGGCCGGTGGCGTGAGTGGTAATGAGCGACACCTGTGAGACACACCGGTCTCGTAACTCTCACGGAGGGGCGGAAGCATAAAGGAGGAGCGACGACAATTTTACGTCGTGTTTTGTTTCTGTTTTGTGTGGCCAGCAGAAGGAACAGAAGAAGAAGGTTCCCGCCTCCTTCTTCTCATAACAACTGAACTCCATTACAGAAATATTCTCTGATTTGATGACTGAGTACATCATTAATGTTATTGAAAATGGTAGATTCAGCATGCCAGAAAGTGAACTTGGGTCAGTGTTTATGCCTCACCAAGTCGTCCTGCATCCTGAAGCTGGATCTTGAGCATTTCCATGGGGGTTGTTACAGTAACCTGACACATCCCTGCCCCGCAGCCAGCCAGCATTTCCTGAAACACGCTCAGCTTGAGTCTGAAACACAGGGGAGTATCATTCACCCACTTTTCATGTTACTAATCTTAAGTACTGTGCAATCTCTTGATATGCGCGGAGGGAACGTACTCTCCCCTACTGAGTCGCTGACGGAAGAAATCATTGGCGGCCAGTTTGATGGCCTTTTCAGGGGTTACCAGTGTCAGGTTGACCGCTGCACCTGTAAGAAGAAAACTTATGAGTCGATCTATGAAAAATATTTACCACTACAGAGATGTTTTAATTTTGTTGTTCTAAGGATGTAATTCCTGCTTAAAAATATTTTATTATATATTGAAAGAGTTGTTTGCAAATGCAAAACTTTGCAAACTTTATTCAACATTTGAAGTGGATAAAAAAAAAGTTCATCAAAGTTTTTCTAAGACAAGAATGGGTATCAAACTTCAAGTTCATGTATAACTTTGATGAAAGGTATTGATCCACTTCAAATTTTCACTACGGTATATCTAAACATCTAAAACATGCATTAAACAGATGCTGCCAAAACCAACACCCATTTCAGTCAACTCATTTTAAGTCAGTGCCTCGGGCAGGTGTTGCAAGGTGTTGTAAAGGTGTTGCAAAGTGTTGACATGCAAATTATGTTGCTTTATGAAGATGTCCTTCTATGGCTTTAGATTTTAGGAAAGATGAACGTCAAGAGATTTATTTTTTTCTTTTAAAAATTCAATCAACTTAAAACTACTTACCTCTGTACATTCCAAAGTTTCCCTCAGAGCGAACAGTCTTTATCAGACAGTCCATCCTAATCACAATGATAATGATCTGTTATTGTCTACTGAGCTATGTCACCATTCTGAAACAATCGTGAAGCCTGAATAAGCTCCACACCTTACACTCACATTGTGTTCTGGTACATAACAGGTAATTATCTTACTCTTTCAAAGAAAATGCTTTCTTATTTATGGTCGAGTGAACTTGCAATTCGGTGTAGAGTTTAAAGTGGATTGGACGAGACAAAACAAAAATAAACCAAATGTGGTGCGCAAAACATACATGTTTTTGTAGACCCGTTGGCTTCCTCTTTGGTTCTGGAGTCTTGTCTTGGCAAGATCTATGGGGAAAACACAGGTAACACCCACCAGTCCTGCAACTCCGCCATTGATGAGCTTTGCAGGGAGGCTTGCGAACAACAGAAGAGAGTGAATAAAGTCATTGCATTCCCATTCTTCCATTTTCCATTTATACAATATCAAGGCACTGCTTTAAAGGTAAAGATAAATGACAAACAAAGCAAGGCAATGTCAGACTGACACAAGTTCAAATCGACAGGCTATTCACAATTATACCGTAGCACCAAAATAGAGTTTTTACTGAATAGAGTGGTTGTGTTTCATACCTGATTGGTTGTTGAGCCATCGTGAGAGGTTTGTGGTTTGGACTGAGGACTGAGGTAGACAGAGGAGCAGTCAGCGTGAAGAGCAGCAGAGAAGGGTTATATACAGAAAACCCCTCCCAAGAGCTTCGGGCAACACTGTCGTTCACTCCCTCACTGTGAGTCTCTGCTCGGACTGACTGCACGGCCAATCAGAGGAGCAGGATCTTCTTACAGTAGAAGCATGCAAACAGACACTCACACTGCACACGCACACTTGCATACATATTTAAGGATTTTAGGTGAGTACATTTGAGTGCATTCTTAAGTTTTAGAATAAATCTTTGGGGGGGAAAAAATAAGAATGTTGGATTTCTTCCAAAACATGCTCATACATGTCCAGAATTTTATACCTGATTAAAATGTTTTTTTATATATATTTCCTTTACATTTTATTGTGCTGAAATCTAAAAATGTTGATATATAGCAGGATTCATTTTTATAGTTACACTTCAATTTATGCTAAATTTATTTACATCAAATTCACTCTTAATAGTTCACATGATTGTGGATTTGTACTATTAACTGTAAAAATATGTAAATAAAGATTATTAAAAGTAGTTTTTACAAGAGGGTACAGTACAGTACAGTTTACAGTACAGTACTTACATGGTACTTACAGTGTACTTACCTAGAAAGTACTGGCCAATATAAAGTAAGTACATGGAACAGGGGTAGATTTAGGGGTAGGTTCGGGGTTAGTACTAGTTATTACCCAGTAATTGTAGTTACAAATTTATTTACATCAAATTGACTCTTAATAGTTCACATGATTGTGGATTTGTACTATTCACTGTAAAGATTATTAGAGTACTTTTTACAAGAGTACGTTTTTCTTTGGCAGGTTTAATTTTTGTGAAACTACTAGCAATTTCTGAGTTTTCATTAGTTAACATTACACAACGTAACATTAAACATAGTTAATGTATTAACTAACATGATCTAACCGTGAGAAATACATTTGTTACTGTTTTTAAGCTTTGTTAATGTTAGTTAATTAAAATAAAGCTGTTTATTGTTTGTTAACGTTAGTTCGCAGTGCTTTAACTAATGTTAACAGTAGTTTAATAAATTATTGGTAAATGTTCAAATTAACATTAACCAAGATGACTAAATCCAGTTTTAAAAGTGCAGTTCATCATTAGTTTATGCTCACTATAGTAGTTAACCGCCATTCAGTGGATTTGATCGACACCAGTTTCCAGAAAACGTTTTTCAGATCTCTGGTTACCAAAGCAGACCCTATAAAACCTGACATTCGTGGAATCAACATAATTAATAATATAACAATTAATAATCAGTCTCACCCACCTCAAGAAATAATGTTTATAATAATAATAAGTATTATTATGATACTTGTGATTTTCAGTACTCTGTGTTTGTAATACACTCACCTAAAGGATAGGAACACCATACTATTACTGTGTTTGACCCCCTTTGGCCTTCAGAACTGCCTTAATTCTATGTGGCACTGATTCAACAAGGTGCTGAAAGCATTCTTTAGAAATGTTGGCCCATATTGATAGGATAGCATCTTGCAGTTGATGGAGATTTGTGGGATGCACATCCAGGGCACGAAGCTCCCGTTCCACCACATCCTAAAGATGCTCTATTGGGTTGAGATCTGGTGACTGTGAGGGCCATTTTAGTACATTGAACTCATTGTCATGTTCAAGAAACCAATTTGAAATGATTCAAGCTTTGTGACATGGTGCATTATCCGGCTGGAAGTAGCCATCAGAGGATGGGCACATGGTGGCCATAAAGGGGTGGACATGATCAGAAACAATGCTCAGGTAGGCTGTTGCATTTAAACCATGCCCAATTGGCACTAAGGGGCCTAAAGTGTGCCAAGAAAGCATCCCCCACACCATTACACCACCACCACCAGCCTTCACAGTGGTAACAAGGCATGATGGATCCATGTTCTCATTCTGTTTACACCAAATTCTGACTCCACCATCTGAATGTCTCAACAGAAATCGAGACTCATCAGACCAGGCAACATTTTCCAGTCTTCAACTGTCCAATTTTGGTGAGCTCTTGCAAATTGTAGCCTCTTTTTCCTATTTGTAGTGGAGATGAGTGGTACCCGGTGGGTTCTTCTGCTGTTGTAGCCCATCCACCTCAAGGTTGTGCGTATTGTGGCTTCACAAATGCTTTGCTGCATACCTCGGTTGTAACGAGTGGTTATTTCAGTCAAAGTTGCTCTTCTATCAGCTTGAATCAGTCGGCCCATTCTCCTCTGACCTCATACTGAAAGTTTTTCCCTTTTCACACCATTCTTTGTAAACCCTAGAAATGGTTGCGCGTGAAAATCCCAGTAACTGAGCAGACTGTGAAATACTCACCAACAACCACGCCACACATTTAAAATTGTTTAAATCACCTTTCTTTCCCATTCTGACATTCAGTTTGGAGTTCAGGAGATTGTCTTGACCAGGACCACACCCCTACATGCATTGAAGCAACTGCCATGTGATCGGCTGAGTAGATAATTGCATTAATGAGAAATGTTAAAGTTTGGAACAAAGTGTTCCTAATAATCCTGTAGGTGAGTGTGATTCATTTTCCAGGGTCAGTACAGATGACTTATGGGAGATACTGTGCAAGATGTGTGGAACCACAACCCCATATTGATGAGGTGATTGTTATGCAATATCAGTTTCATACAGATGGTTAGCAGAAATAAGGGTCGACTTTATTGCAGCAGATGGGAAAAGCAGGTAAGCTTAGTGATAAGTTAATCACGACTGAAGACGCTTGAGATGCAAGGAAGTAGAAACGCTCGCAAGAGAATCGCAGTCGATACTCTGACGCTATGAAAGCAGTCTTTTCTTTAAACCAGACCAGACCAGACGACGTGGGTGACCGAGGTGTGTGTTTATATGTGTGTGTTAATGAAGTGATGATCAGTGGCAGGTGAGAACCAGAGGGGATGCTGGGAAATGTAGTCCAGGGTGTGACTGAGGGAGTGTAGTAGTGAAGGAGGACCGGTGCGCTCGTGACAGCGATGTCACAAGTTATGTCATTATTCCTTGCCCACCCATCACACGATCAAGTCTTTTTAAATGCTTTGGATGATCTTTTCCATAAATTCCAGTTACAGATCCCCCTCTAAACATCCTATATTTACAGGCAACCGACCCACAGAAGAGGGCAGCAGCGTTCCTGTGCCTGTCATGGCAAATGCAGGAAAATCCTTCTCCATTTGGATGGGTCTTGGGATAAGTCTCTGTATTTGTGCAATTGATCAAAATAGGTTTAATTCCCTCTAAAGTAGACATTTATTTAGTAAAGGGTTTTTTTTATTTTATTGATTTATTTATTCTTTTCAAGCCCAGTGTCAGTGAAGACGGACGTGATGGAGGATGTAAATCCTGCGTTTGTGGAAAATGTGAAATAATATCTCCCAGTTTTCTACTACGAGATTGCCCTGATGATTGAGGTTAGTTTACACACCAAACAGAACTGCTTTATCAGGGTATACGAAATAAAAACAACAAGCACTTTTGTTTCTTTGGAGTTCTCTAGTTTGACATGGCAAAAATACACTTATCTTTTACACTTACACTTATCTACACTTATCGGGAGTGTTTGTGATCAAATGTTTTGTTTGTCAAACTTACATTTATGTAATGCTGGAGTAAGATTTGTTACCAAGAAACCTTTAATATTTGTGTTGGGTAATGTTTGAGAGCTTATATTAACACTTTACAATAAGGTCTCATTTGGTAACATTAGATAATGGGTTAACCAACGTGAACTAAAAATAAGCAATACATGTTACAGTATTAATCTTTGTCAACTTTAGATAATAAAAAACAGTTGTTCATTGTTTGTTTATTAGTTCACAGTGTGTAACTAATGTTAACAAATACAACTTTTGATTTGAATCATGTATTAATAAATGTTGGAATAAGCATTAATACTAAATGCCGAGAAGTGAGTTAAAAATACATTCACTGTAAAAAAAAAATGGTGGGTTGTTTTTGGGTCAAATATGGACAAACCAAAATGTTGGGTTAAAAAAAATAATTAAAAAATTTACAGTTGAAAGTGAAAGTTAAAATTTTAAATGACATTTTTAACCCAACGTTTGGGTTTGTCCATATTCGACCCAAATTTGGGTTAAAACAACCATCGTTTAGAGTGTTCTAGTGTGTTTAATTAAAATACCTTTTAATAGATTTTTTAAATACATTTTAAACATACTAAATTACAAATTCACTATTCGAAAATGGAATTACAAATATCTTTTGTATTAAATAATACTGTAAATTAATCAACATTAAAGTAGATTTTAGTTCACATTAATTGATTGTCAGTACATTTGGAAGTACACTTTAACCGTATTTAACCAAACTTTAACCAAAGACATTAAATTATATATAAATGTCCCATTTAAGTAAAAAAAATCACTCTTAAGTTTAACTAATTGTGTTTAATATCAATTTAAACTATAATACATGTGAATTAAATTACAAATAGGCCTAATATTTGATTTCGGCTTTCAAAAATATTCACAATTCAAGTGTATTATGCTAAAGTACATTATTTGCATAATAAGTACACTTAATAAAAGTACATATTTTTCACAAAAGAAAAACATTTTTCAGTTTCAAGTTCACTACTTTTAAATAAACTTTATAAATGAATGAATTTATAATGGCAACTATTTTTGTTTTACTTTGACTGAAGTAACATATTTATTCATTAAGTTATAATATTAGTTTAATTTAATATATTTTGTTGATTAAATTAAAATCAATATGGCACATTGGACAAATTAAGTGTAATCGCTGACATAGAAAACTGTATATAAAACTCCTTAACAGAAATACATTTGCCTTGAATGTCCAAATTCTTGACACAATTAATTGATGCACTGACTGTTTTTATGCAACATGCAAACAAAAATGATTTGGCTCAAAATAGGTTTTGTTTGTTAGACGACCATTTCAAAATAAATGACAATGGAAAGCCCTTTTCACGTCACAGTTCACACACAATGTGAGGATTTTTGTGAGAGTGTGAGAGTTTACCAAATAATCTTTAAACATCCTCTTTCTCTTTAGTTGTGTCACATTATGAATAAATAAAAAATTAAACAAGAAAGTAAAGGTACGACAAAAACAGCGGCAGTATAATTGTTCATAATTTTCTTTTTGTTTTCACTAAAAAAAAAAAAAACAAACTCTTAACTGTAAATAAACGTCAGTTGATGTGTTTCATACTGTTATTATGACCATACATTTAATTATATATTTTGTATTAGTAGTATCTGTTCTGCTTTATAGTTCTAGGATAATTATATTGATTATAAAACCAAAAATCACACAAATCCCAAATTTGCTTGCAATTTTCATAAAATGGCAATATCAGATCAAGTTTTAACATTTCTTTATTTTTCAGTTTCCTCAACATTATTTATACACTTTGCTGATTCCATAATAAAACGTTTTTTCTTCCCTGACACACATGCAATCTTAGTTGTCAAACTGTGCAATCAACATGTTAATATATTCTGCAAACATTCTGATGTAAAAAAAAAAGTAATTTCCAATTTTCAAAGTCTTCTCATACATAAAAGATTTTTACATATGGACATTTTTTATATTTTTTTGTTAAATGTGTATTTTGGGGTTTTGTTAGTGTTTTTCTATGGCGAGCAAAAAAGGAAGCCTTTGGTTTAAAAAAAAAAAAAAAGTAGTGAATGATATTAGGAGTAACAGTAAATGAGACTCGAGTGTTTAATGCAGAGATTTACTGTAAAAAGGATGCGGACAGGAGAACCAGAACAAAGACCTTCTGTCACCTGCAATATCCACTCATTCATCAAAACATCATAGCTGAAATGTATATAAACACTTGAATTCAAAAAGACTGTCTAACAAAACACAAAAAAAAGGTTATCTGAAGAAAAGGTCCTGCAGGTTCTTCATCCTCAGACTGCTCGCAGGTGCTCGGAACATTTGTTGGGACTGGGACTCGGTTTGTAGACGCACTCGTTCTTGGCAGTGTTGCATTTAGTGCAGCGGCACCGGTTAGCCACCGGGTAAAAGAAGAGGGGGTCGATGTGGACGGGACAGCCGGGCATCCTGGCAGAATGATAGACCACTGAACGATGCATGCATCCTCTCTGAACCAGGAAACGCTTGCCCACAAATCCTCTCATGTTCGTGTCCTGTCACGTACGTAATACACAATGCACGTGATATTACTATTAGCTCGTTTTACGTGATATAGTATGTAGTCTTTGATTCATGACAATTTCTCAAGGCCAAAGTGATTCAGCATGGTTTATTTCACAATCAATAAATAAAAAATATAACGGACTGGCTAATGAGACACTCTCATTAATGGAATTTCACATAATGGAGGCTATATGCAGTCATTTATGAATTATGCTCTCAGTAACACTTTAGTTTAGGGTCCAATTCTCACCATTAACTAGTTTCCTTATTGTCATGCTTATTGGCTGTTTATTAGTACTTATGAATGCATGATCATATTCTACATCCCTTAATCACCCAATACCTAAACTTAACAACTACCTAACTATTAATAAGCAGTAAGGAGGAGTTTAGTGAGGCAAAAGTCATAGTTAATAGTGAGAATTGGACCCTAATCTAATCTAAAGTTTGACCATATGTATCTATTTTTATTTTTTTATCTCTTTTACACGCACACTGCAAACACAAAAAGCATACATTGACTATTTTCATATAAAATTAGCTATATGAATAAGATTTGTTTGATTCAATGCTTTAAATATATTCAATATTGAATTCTAAAATAACAATGATTTCTGAATATTTTGAGACTGAGCTCTTTATAGTAAGAAATCGTTGTGAAACCGGATGCAATCGGTGGCTTTTCTGCCTCATATCACTTGAGATGTCCATGAATGTGTGTGTTGTTACCTGCGTGAAGCACATTCCGCTGCACATGGTGGTGTTGACGGCCATGCAGTGACCGCACTCGTGTCTCTCCACGTACAGCGTGTAGTTCTTCAGAGAGCAGGCCAGAAGGACATCTCCTCCCATCAGGAAAAGCAGACTGCAGAAAAACAACATCCTCATCTTCATCCAGCACCTGTCCCACATCCAAAAGCCAGCTCACAGTGTTCTGATCAATGCGGTTGAGAATCCTTCATATAAGGGTAGAAAATGAAAAAAAAAAGTCCTTCTTTCAGCCAAATTTAGCTTTAGTCAGAGTTCCTCGTTTGCTTTTTAGACTCACACTAATCCCAAATGTTGTTGTGTGCCTCTTATCTGGCTCTGCAGGGGGGGGAGGGTCCTCCACAACTCAACGTGACACCAGGGTGAACGGCCACGCGCTGCCCCGCTCCAGCTAATCACGCAATCAAGGAAAACATCTTGCATTTGATTTCAGGTGCCCCCATTTATGGAGCAACATGACTTACTGCATTTATGAATAACTGTATCTTAACAATTTGAGTAGATACTGTAAATACCTTTAAAAAAGACAAACTACATGACAATTGCTAAGCTATGAATGGCAGAAAATATCTGATATAAACAGACATTCATGAAAATATACACATATACAGTATATAAACACATCAACATGAAGATATATTCCCATATGTTCTCATATAGATAGAGAGAGAGAGAGAGAGGGAAAGAGATAGATAGATAGATAGATAGATAGATAGATAGATAGATAGATAGATAGATAGATAGATAGATAGATAGATAGATAGATAAGAAAGAGAGTGATAGATAGATATAAGAAAGAGATAGATAGATAGATAGATAGACAGACAGACAGACAGACAGACAGACAGACAGACAGACAGACAGACAGACAGACAGACAGACAGATAGATAGATAGATAGATAGATAGATAGATAGATAGATAGATAGATAGATAGATAGACAGATAGATAGATGCATTCATATACTGATTAAACTGACTGTGACATCACTTTAAAAAAATGATATGGTCAATAAGTTATGACAACATGTGGTTTTACATTCACAACATATGTTTTTTTACAACTCTTCACAATAAGTTTAGCAATTTTCATCTTTTTTTATGTTATTCGAGATTCAACTTATTTTTCTGGAGTTAGTTTAATGTAATTTAAGTTGAAATGACTCAAACATCCAAGTTAGTTGTATTTAAAAATTTAAGGCAGCAATTTTTTAACAGTTTTAGTGCTCACCTTCGAGCCAATCAGGGAATGTAGACAGACCATGGTATGACTCAATTATTTTATTGTTTAAGATTATTTTATTAATAATTTAATACGATTGTACGTTGTAGATATTAGACACAGACAAGGGGTTTTAGGGGTTAAATCAAGTGGAAATGGCTTCTTTGGATAAAATCTGCACAAATACACATTTTACATTGTGTGTTTGCTGAGCTTCCAGTTCGAACAGTTTTCTGTCTATATCGAACTGATCGTCTTTATGCTGGTTTTGATCAATTGTCTTCGTGTTGCATTTCCTGCCATGTCCCAGTTCTGGGTAAATGGGTCTGTGCAGAGACGGAGACAGCGGCTGTTTCACGTGTTGCGTCGTTCACCTGGACACTGTCTTCCATGTCTAATCCTCACTAAAGCTCCGAACATGTGCCAGCTTCAACATGCTTCCAAACTGCAGCTATAGCAACAGAGACTGCTGCTCAAAACTTAGTCTCAAAGATGCAAAAAAATAACTCTCAAACATAGAGAGTCTAATACAAAATGTTAAATATGTTAACTCATTAAACATGTTGGATGCTTTACAGATAAACAAATACTGGGTTTAATCAAAACAAAAACACTTTATTTTACAGTCATATGTTTTTCATGTAGTAACTGTAACTAAAATATGCATAATTACAAGCAACTATCCCTCAACCAAACCCTAATCGTAACTCTATACGTGCATGTGCAAGTGCATGTAGTTAATTAACATTACTCAGTACTTGAATGTATAATTACACTGTAATAAGGACACATTAAAATAAAGTGTAACCAATATTACATAATTCAATATAATAATTATTGAATTATGACAGGATTCTCACAACTACTTTAGCTTACCCTAAAAAAGTCCTGCACATCCATTTTTACAGTATTTCTGGATGTACATTAGAGAAATATTAAACATTACATCATGTTAACTGACATTATCAAAATGTTTTTTAATTATATTAAACATGTCTTTAAAAGTCTTAAATGTGAATTTAAGATGATTGAAACCACACAAATACCTTTTTAGTTTGAATAAGGTCAGAGGAAAATATTTTAAAAATCATGTGGTAAAATACTGTGTTGATTTTTAAATTGTTACTATTAATTGCTAAAAAGTGCCATTTCTACCTGGTTGACCCTATTTTTGTGTGTAGTGTATAGTCAAGTTGATTCATAAGTCAGTCAGGTTAAATGTATATTTAATATATAGAAAAAAAAATATAATAATCCCCACAAACCATTTAGCACTTAAATGAACTATTGAACCCTGGTTCTCCTGTCATTAGATCTGTACATGTTTTCATTACATAATTCATCGTGACACCTGAAAGAAAACATGTTAAACTCAATCGGTCAAACGATCAGACTTGTGATATAAATAAATGGGTCAGATACAGCTGAACAATGATGAATTTAGCATTTTTTAATGTTTTATTGACTTTTTTTTATTACACTCATTTAAAAATGTAATATGTATAAACTACACATTGCAATATAATTCTCAAATATAGACTGTGTAAAAAACAGGTAGTAAAATCAGAATAATAATAATGCATATACTACTATTATAACCATTCATAGTTTTATAAAATAATTAATAATTAAGAAATTGTAGTTCCAAATCCCAAATGAAGTTCAGTCTCTTATATCCATACAGCTCTCCATCAATCAGTTGACCTACCTGAAAAGAAACCTTCAAATATATATATATATATATATATATATATATATATTTAAAAATATATATATATATACATAAAAAATGAAGACACTTTAATCTGCTTGTTCAGGTCAACCGAGCAATGAAACATGACAGAACGCAGGCGAATAAAGCCTCAGCATGGGGTGATGTATGTGTTTGACCACAGCATTGACTCCAGGTGACTGTAACTGAATCAGTCTATGTTTAGTCCACAGTCAGCCTCAATAATTACACTGTCGGGGTTAGCAGAGTTTATATAATTAGGATGATATTTGAGCCCTTCATAATCTAAAGTTTCTCTAGGGCGCACAGAGGATTCCAGGAGGACAATATATGGTTGTGCAATCAGTTACATTCACACTCAACAGCAAGTCGACCTGGTCACGTTGAACAAGGGACATGGAAGTTAACGCTAGAGGGCAACGTGATACACGCTGGTTGCTCCAGGAAAAACTAGGTCACGGGGATACATGACCCATCCCTATTTTTTGTGATGTCTCCACAGCCATATCTTCTGAGGGACAACTGAGATAGGAGCCTGTTTCAGCCAAGGTCAGAGGTCAAAGGTGAATGTGCAGTTTTATTTCAGATTTAATACCTATATATATATATATATATATATATATATGAAGAGTTCAGATGCAAAAGCCTCTAAGTGCCATTTGAAATTTTCTTCTAAAATGATCATTTTTATCAAGATTGTATATTTAAGTTCAGTAATTTCACTTAAATGGCAATGAAGATTACCTATTACTTGTCATTTAAGTGAAATTACTGAACTTAAATATACAAGCTTGATAAAAAATGGTCATTTTAGAAGAAAATTTCAAATGGCATTTAGAGGCTTTTGCATCTGAACTCTTCATATATATATATATATATATATATATATATATATATATATGTAAACTTTTGCCAATATTCATATACAGTAGAACACTATATTGCCAAAAGTTAATGTCTTTACATGCATATGAACTTTAATGAAATCCCATTTTTAATCCGTAGCATTTGCCCCAACTCTTCTGGGAAGGCTTTCCACAAAGGAGTGTTTATGGGAATTTTTGACCATTCTTCTAGAAGCACATCTGTGAGGTCAGGCACTGATGTTGGACGAGATGAGGTCAGGCCAGTGCAGTTCCTCCACACCAAACTCGCTCTTCCATGCCTTTATGGACCTTGCTCTGTGCATCATGTTAGAACAGGATGGGGTCATCCCCAAACTGTTCTCACAAAGTTGGGAGCATGAAATTGTTCAAAATGCCTTGGTATGCTGAAGCATTAAGAGTTCCTTTCACTGGAACGGGCCAAGACCAACCCCTGAAAAACAATCCCACACCATAATCCCCGCTCCACCAATCTTTACACTTGGCACAATGCAGTCAGGCAAGCACAGTTCCCCTGGCAGCCGCCAAGAGAGAACACGTCTCCACTGCTCTAGAGTCCAGTGGTGGCGTTGTTACAACCACGCCTGACTCCACCCTCACACAATCATAGCGCACTTCCTCTCCTGAGTACTGATCAGTCACAGGCTCATCACAAACCTGCACATCATCAGTACTGCAATCACCACCTTCCACTTATAAACCTCACTCTCGCTCTCATTCTTTGTGCGGTATCATTTGCATCAAGACGCTAACGTTGTGCTTACCTCCTGGACTTCAATACCTGCTATCCAGTCTCCGTGTGATTTCTCCGTGTCAGCAACTTTAATCCTAATCACCTTCTTCATTCTACTGAGTCTTCGCAATCTTCAGTTTGTCTTCATCATCCCCAACTGCAAGTATTTAAGGTGTGTTATCCGAGGTTGATCGTCTGGGACTCTTCACACCCACATTCCTTCACCTGCACTGCCGAACTTTCATCTGGTTGTTCAATAAATATTATATCACTTGCATCCTTGAGTCAGTCCCTTCTGTCTTGTAACAGAATACCAGACCACACAAAGAGAAGACTGACGAACTCCAGCATGAGCACCGTGGATCCCTTCCAGGAACTCGTTGACGATGTCTGTCAGTCTCTACCGTCCACTCCACAAGCACCGCCCACAGTGTCCACTATCACCGACGCTGTTGCCACAACTTCTCCACCGGTGCTGGTCAGTCCCATGGCCCAACCCCAACCCCAGTCCCACACCCTTTCAGGATCGGCGGAGGATTGCAATGGTTTCAACTTACAATGCTCACTGGTCTTGGAAATGCAACCACACATGTATCCAAATGACCTTGCTAAAGTTGAATTTGTAATTTCTCAGTTGAATGGCAAAGCACTACGCTGGGCCGAATCTCTCTGGTCACAGAAGAGTTCTATAATCCAATCTTTCTCAAGTTTTTTTCCTAATTTCAGAGAAGTTTTTGGGAAGCCCACCAGGGATTCATCGATTGGAGAGCAACTGTACCAGTTAAAACAAGGTTCAATGTCTGTGAGAGAATATGCCCTGCAATTTCGTGCACTAGCTGCCGAACAAGCCTTGCTCACCACATATCGTCAAGGTCTGAATCCTCGCGTACGATTGCATCTTGCTGCCTACGAGGATTCCA